AGCATTTGATAATCCTTTGTAAGGTTTTTTATGTCATGTGTTTGTATTGTTTTTTTTCTTTATTTTACTTTCTATTTTATTCATTTTGGTACAGCACTTTGGTTCCACTTGTGGTCTGAAAGTGCTCTATAAATAAAGTTGAGTTGAGTTGAGTTGAGTTGCAAGAAAAATAGTTGTACACAGCTGTAAATTATTAAGTTGGGTATCACTTTTCCAAGTAAATATAATAATTTTACTTTTTAGGGTTGCTTTTTCATATTTATTGAAACTGTTATGTGTTTCATAATTTGTTCTGATTATTTGTTTATAAGTCATCAACTGTACAAATATATATAAAAATTAAAAAAAAATCAAAAATATCAAAGAATATGAAATTGCCCTATGAATATTTTATTGCTTCTATTTCTATTGCTTCTGAATTTCTATTAACAGGGTCCTTGTCATGTGTATGAATATGAAGTCAAACTATTTGTGAATAATTTCCTTAAATCATCCAGCACAACTAAATGTAGGCTTATTACAGTGGACTAGTTTCTATGCAGAATGCTGTATTATAACAGATGCCGTTCCAGTTTTCAGTTAGTGTTGAAGCAGTGATGAGTCATATCAGTGGATCTTGAGAGTGGCCTCCTTTGCCAATTGTATTTGCCCTACATGCAAAAGTCACTGCTCAAATTGACCTAATCCTATCAAAGCAGTATATTTTTGCTACTTAATTAATATCAAAATTGGTACACATCTTAATCCATTTTATAATGTTTGCATTGCTTCTCATTCAATAAAAAAAAAGTTTTACAATGACTTTGCCATCCTAGATGTTACAATGCTGTCAAACCAGATCAAACAAATATTTGAGGAATAACTTTTCTTATTTATTTTCTACAAATTATTTTGAAACATTACACTAATTAGGGTGGTGTTATGAAATAAAAATGTATAATTATTGTTTAAGCATTAATACAGTCAGAGTATATTGGATTAAAATCAATAACATGACAAAATGTTGACTAAATTTAAAGGACATTTTCTTTGAAAGGAAAAAAAATCTATGACTAATAATAATAATAATAATAATAAATACCTTAATTCTCATCTCAATACTCTTTTTGTGCTCTTTGCAGGACTACACCATCACCATGTATTTCCAACAAAGCTGGAGGGACAAACGGTTGGCCTATGCTGAGATGGCTTTGAATCTCACTTTGGACAACCGTGTGGCTGATCAGTTATGGCTCCCAGACACCTACTTCCTGAATGACAAGAAGTCTTTCCTGCACGGTGTGACAGTGAAGAACCGAATGATTCGGCTCCACCCAGATGGTACTGTTCTTTATGGACTGAGGTAAATGCCACTGCCTCTGTAACATCACTGCTACCTACGTGTATTGTGCTGTATAATGTCAGACTTTCCAATAACACTGCAAACCACAGTCTTAAAGTCCACTGGAAATCAGAAATGACCTTAGCGCACATTACTAGTCATGTGGTGAACAATTATCTATGACAATTACATTTGCCACATACTGATGTTAAGTCGGACCACAACTCTGTTCGCGCTGACTTTAACATGATTGTAATCAGCAGAAAGTAATGAATAGGTTTCATTTACTCAGTCCAAGATCAATAATTCCCTGATTAACAGTAATTTAACCTGAACTTTGCAGCCATTTTGTGTGACATCATTCTTGTATTTGTTGTTGATATCAGTATCAAAGTTCTTAGTACTGTGTAACTGTACTTATAAGTTAAACTTCAAGTCACACTTGCTATCACATTGAGGACAAGGTTAGCTATGGAAAGCTTCTATTTGGAGTGTGTGAAAGATATGTGTTAATGGTTCACAGCACTGACAGACTGTGTTGAAAATGAAGGCGCTAATGATATTGGGTGGAAAGTGTGAAGAAGCTTTGCCTTATTTGAGTTACCCCCCCCGCTTCAAACTTCGTTTTGATTGCCCAAAGTAAGGTGGTCCCTTACTCTCACAAAACATAAAACTACTTATAGCAAATTAGTCACGACTGTTTCCTGAAACTGTAACATGGCGGAATCTTCTGAAAGACTATACTGAATCATGAGCAAAACACATAAAGAAAGATGCAGAAAACAAAAAAATATAATGTAATCATATGAATATGTAAAATAATGCTATCTTCAACATTAAATAGCATAGAAATCAAAACTGCCCAAAGTTACTGAATGAAATGTCGACCCAGACGAGCTATGGGACTGTGCAACCGTGTTGGTGGACTCGATCTACTCCATCTATGTTTTTAATATTGTTCTGAATCCGATCCTTATTGTAGTCTTTGACAAAATGTGATTTTCTCAGCTTTTTGCTCAAAATTTTGCTTTTTTGAATGAAACTTACCCACATTCAAGTTTTGATTAAAAAGAATGCATGAATGATTTATTTGTTGGTACACTTTATTTTGATGGTCCCTTTTGAACATTCTACTAAAGTAACATTGCAACTACATGTAAACTAACTCTAACTAGACATTGGTGACTGGCAACTTTATAAAAATAAAAAAAAAAACGCTGGTGGGAAAGGCTAATTAATCTATTAAAAATCGCCATTAATGCCAGCTGTTTATAGTTAATAGGGGATTATCACGCTGACACGTAGTGCTTCCGCATTCAGTGATCTTTGTGCACTGCCACTTCCGTTGAATCACCGATCACTCTGGCGAACTGATGACGGACTACACTAGGTTTATTTATACAGCATCCCTGGTAAATTAGTCTGATTCACTAAAGTGCCAGTGTCGTGCCGAAAAGTGATGGTCCGCCGAAAAATGATGGCTGGCCGCGGGAGCACGCGCAGTGTGTTAAAGATGTATCGCCTGTTCTCTTTATGAATGCAGTTGCTTTTATGTGGATCAAACAGACATGACGTGCAAATAAACATCACTCACCCAGTACTTTTACCTATTAAAATACCTGTAAAGGGCCAATACAACCATTATAATGGCAGTATTATTTTACCTGCCAAAAAGTGATTGGAGCCTCTACATATTGATTGAAAGGTTATTTCTGCCTTGAAATTAGTCAATTATATTCATGAGGATTAAATCCGACTGATTGTAACTCACCTACTACTTTTTACCTATTAAAATACCTGTAAAGGGCCAATAAACCATTATAATGCAGTATTTCCAACACATTCTCATCCTTTAGCGTCATATAGGACGCTATATGACAAAACGGTGCTATACTACTCACATGGCACCCGTTATCGTTAATATAACACGCTGTGATGGTTAGGTTTAGGTGTGGGCAGGGTAAGGTAGTCTCATATATGCTAAAGGATTTATGACGCCTTGGGTTCGTGTGAATATTAACGATAAAGGGTGCCATGTGCGTAGTATAGCGCTGTTTTGTCATATTGGATGAGAACGGGCTGGTATTTCACCTGAACAAACAAACGTGCTACCTTGTTTATTTTACAGTTTGTACTTTCATCCCGGCGAACCGCTTTAATCCACTTCTTCCTTATACTCAATTCAGTCGGGAATCCATGAAAACGTCTCGGTTACGTATGTAACCCTCGTTCCCTGAGTAGGGAACGGAGACGTTACGTCAGAAGTGACGGAGATTGGGGGATTTCGCATAGAAAGCCAATCCTCTTCGAGTATTTAAACACGAGCCAATGGCATGCAATGCCTTGGGGCTGCGGAAATTTGCATAGCGTACTCCGCCCTACTCCGTGAGTATAAAAGGAGGAAGTGAACGCAACCGCAGTATGTCTTCACTGAGGAGCCAAGACTGAACTCGGCATCTACCCAGCGATACAGCAGAAGTGGCAGGGAGACGTAACGTCTCCGTTCCCTACTCAGGGAACGAGGGTTACATACGTAACCGAGACGTTCCCTTTCGTAGTCACTTCGAGTTACGTCAGAAGTGACGGAGATTGGGGTCTGTGCCATCACGCCATCTTCAAGCTGTCTTCCAGTGCCCTGCGAAAGACTGAACCCCCGAGCCTTACCTCTTTTTTTTTTTTTTTTTTTGGGGATCCGACTTTGACACAGGATTACCAAGGTACACTGGGAAACATATCCCGAAGGGGACATGCTACCAGCTGCCTACCGAAGGGAGGACTTATGAATACACATATGGCCACATAGGAACGCATATGGAACACTGGAGTCCCAACCGCAGGTGGCTACTGATTTAAACTCCAGGGGTGGCAGATGGCTTGCCAAGGGAAGACACATGCTCAGAGAGACTTACAGTGGATAATACACATGAGACGGTTACCATGGGGAACCGTGCGCATGGAGGCACCTAGCTAGCATCCAGAGCAACGCAGTGGTGCCCGCATCGTCGGTGCTGGAGGACTCAAGACTTCAATGGAAGAACTGAGGAAATATCGCACTTATCCAGTCCGGGGAGTGGAGTGGCGAGCAAGCGAAGACACCTGAGCGGATCCAGAACTGGCCGAAACGAGTACGTGAGAGGATACCGGCTCAATTCGCAGATTATAGAATCTGGCGAAGGTGTTGGGTGTCGCCCAGCCTGCAGCTCTGCAGATGTCTGTTAGCGAGGCGCCGTGCGCTAAAGCCCAAGAGGAGGCTACACTCCGAGTGGAATGGGCCGTCACACCAAGGGGGCACGGAAGGCCTTGCTGCTGGTAAGACAAAGCAATGGCATCCACTATCCAGTGGGACAGCCGTTGCTTTGAGAGAGCCCTTCCCTTCTGGCTCCCTCCATGACAGACAAAGAGCTGGTCTGAGGTCCTGAAACACTGCGTTCTGTCGACATAGGTGCGGAGAGCACGTACCGGACAGAGCAGTGCCAAGGCTGGGTCTGCCTCCTCCGGGGGCAGCGCTTGCAGGTTCACCACCTGGTCCCGGAAGGGAGTGGTGGGAACCTTGGGCACATATCCAGGCCGGGGTCTCAGGATCACGTGAGAGTAAGCCGGCCCGAACTCCAGGCACGCTTCGTCAACGGAGAATGCGTGCAGGTCCCCCACCCTCTTGATGGAGGCCAATGCAACCAGGAGTGCTGTCTTCATGGACAGAAACTTTAACTCTACCGATTGCAAAGGCTCAAAGGGATGCCTCTGCAGAGCACTTAAAACTACCGAGAGGTCCCAAGAGGGTACGAGGGGAGGACGAGGCGGATGCAGCCTCCTCGCTCTCCTCAGGAACCTGATGACCAGGTCGTGCTTCCCTAAGGACTTACCTTCCACTGCTTCATGAGAAGCGGCAATGGCCGCGACGTAAACCTTAAGGGTGGAGGGCGACAGCCTGCGCTCCAACCCTTCTTGCAGGAAGGAAAGCACGACACTGATCGAACATCTCCGGGGGTCTTCTCCGCGAGAAGAGCACCAATTGACGAAGAGGTTCCACTTCAACGCATAAAGGTGTCTCGTGGACGACGCTCTTGCGGAAGTGATGGTTGCCGCCACCGCAGGTGGCAGCGAACTCAAACCTGCCTCGTCCCGTCCAGGAGCCACACGTGCAGCCTCCAAAGATCGGGACGAGGGTGCCACAGAGTGCCCCGTCTCTGAGAGAGTAGGTCTTGTCTCAGAGGAATAGGCCAAGGAGGTGCTGTCGCGAGGAGCATGAGATCGGAGAACCACGTCTTGGTGGGCCAGTAGGGGGCTACCAGCAAGACCTGCTCCTCGTCCTCCTTGATCTTGCACAACACCCGTGCAAGGAGGCTCACTGGGGGAAACGCATACTTGCGTGGGCCCCGTGGCCAGCTGTGCGCCAGCGCATCCGAGCCGAGAGTGCCGCGGGTCAGAGAATAAAACTGGGCGCAGTGGGATGAGTCCCGAGAGGCGAACAGGTCTATCTGTGCCTCCCCGAACTCGTCCCAAATCAGCTGGACCGACTGGGGATGGAGTCGCCATTCGCCGGAGAGGGGACGGACCCGGGACAGCTCGTCGGCTGCCCAGTTCCGGTCTCCAGGAATGTAAACTGCACGAAGGGACCTCAGGTGCTTCTGACTCCATATCAAGAGGTGGCGGGCGAGCTGCGACAACTGGCGTGAGCGTAGACCCCCCTGGTGGTTGATGTACGCTACTGCCGTAGTGTTGTCTGAGCGGACAAGCACATGCTGGCCCTTGAGCAACGCTCGGAAGCGGTGTAGGGCGAGCCGTACTGCCAACAGCTCGAGGCAATTGATGTGCATGAGGCGCTGGGCTCCTGTCCAGGAACCGGCGGCTGCATGCCCATTGCACATGGCACCCCAACCCGTGGTAGATGCATCCGTGGAGACAACGAGATGCCTGGAAACTCGCTGAATAGGGACGCCGGTCCGTAAGAAGCTGAGGTTCGACCACGGGAAGAAGGTTCGCCGGCATGCCGGAGTCACTGGGACTCGGAGCGAGCCGCG